CGCCGCCCCCGCCCTCACCCCGCGTTAATCGCTTGCAAAACTCGCGGAGGACGCCGGGCTGGCGCGGGGCTGGCGCGGGGCTGGCGCGGGGCTGGCGCGGGGCTGGCGCGGAGCTGGCGCGGCCCCCGAGGCTGCTCAGGAAGTACTTGGTTCGACTTGTAAAGCCTGCTCCCGGTGCGTTAGGCACGGGTCGGGTCGGGAGAAGGGTTCATCCCACCGGGGACCCTCTGCAGCAAGCGGTGGTACCGCGGAATTTAATACCTTTACTTTCGGACAGAGACAAAAAATCAAAAGGGGGAATTATAGGATTACTTTTTAACCTTCTTAGAGGGACTGCAAAGGTGCTGGAAACGGCACTCGCAAAGACAGCGTAACTATATAAAAAAGTTAATAACTTTCAGTTAAACATTTTTAAAAAATCCCCGTTCTTTTAGGCAATCACAAAATCTACTGTGCGTATAGTCTGTGGGTGGTTTGGTCTACTCTACTTCATTTTCTCGTACAGTGTTAAGCCTTCGTTACTCCTAGTAGTACAGTTTGTTGTGGGCTTGCTCCTGCTACACGCTGGGCTGGCGCGGCTTGCTTTGGTCGAGCGACAGGGGGGGCCCTGCGCTTTTGAGCGGCTAACCACCACCGCCGCTCTCCTCCACCCTCCCCCTCCACGCCCCCTGCTCCGCCCTCGAGCGGCCGTGTCACAGTGTTCGACGACCCAGAACAGCTCCGCACTAACGCGAGCTGGAGCACAGCAGCAGGGCCTCTTGCCTGGCGTGGCGTAGCGTCGGCAGGCGTCTTTGCGCGTCGGCCGGGGCCACAGTCCGGCAGCACACTGCGAAAGGAATGCGGCGAGAGAGACCCGGCATGTGAGGACGACAAAACAAAGACGCGACAAAACAATGCGCGCCGCCAACCCGCGATTTTACGCGCGGCCTGGCTTCAGGCTTCACATGCTGCACGGTATTTGCCCCCGCGTCGTCTCTCTCCCTCTCTCTCACCCTCGAGCATTCAAACACCTCACTCGAGTTGACATCACGTGCGACGAACGGATTACATTCCATCTCGATGCGGCTTCGCACAGAGTGTGACCTCGTGACCGCAGTGTGTGTGTGGCCACAGCGCAGCAGCTGTTTAGAGCGTTCCGTCACATTGCGCGTCAAAACGGCGCCAAACCGCGTCAGACGGGCAATAATAACGCGAACAGCAGCGAGTTTAGCAGCCTTGCAAAGTCTGTCGGTCGCAGCAGGGGTCGTGCAGTGGGGAGGGGGGCCGTTCCATTTCACAGCCCGGTGCCGCCAGCAGGTTTTGTGTCGCCGCCAGTTCCAAAGCACCGCGACATTTGACCAGCAGCGCCAACTTAGCGGCGGAGGGGAGTAGTAGTTCACGACAAAGTTACAACTCAGGAGTGGCGGCGGGGCGTGGCGGGGCGGGGTAGGGTGGGCTCCGGGGCAGCAGGAGGGAAGACCAGGGCATGCCGCTGCGCCACAGGGCTGCCCGCCTGCCCGCCTGCGGTCGCTGCTAATCCCCTGGCAAATTCACCAACTTATGGGCTCCGCACGGCCAAGACCGAGAACGCAGTAAAAAATAAAAAGCCGGACAGACAAAAAGAGGGGGGGGGGGCAAATAATGGGATCTGCGACGTCGCGCAAAGGCCAACCTGAGCGGTTTGAGATGAGACGAAAGGCAATTTCTTCTCCCCCTTTTTCCTTCTCAACCCCCAACTCCACGTTTCTCCCCCCCCCCTTTTTTCACGACGCAATTACAAAAAATATATATTTATCAATCCCTGTTTGTTTGTGCCTCTCAAACGTTTGTGTTTGCCAAACCCTTCTCCAATTCATCGGCATAATAATAATTCCCCCATGCAAAGACC